GCCGCGACTAATTGAGAGTAATCGCACGCGTTAGATCGCCGCGCCGGGGAAACCCCTCTTTTGAACAGCGCACCGCCAACGCTGTTCCTGAACGAAACCGCTGGACAAGCTTTATTCGTTTCGAAGGGACACAGATTCTCGTAACAACCCCGGGAAAGTGTACTGTTATGCCGCGGCAAAGAGCGGAGTCTCCAAGGATGTCTTCTCGATGCCTGAAAAGTCGTTTATTAATTTGTCAACTATCGACTTGAAGTGTGAAGTTCGAACGGCCAAAGACTAACTCTATATGAGCAGGATCGTTTTCTCACTATCATTGACGGTACTCCCGAATCCTCTGTTTATCGCGCACCGTGGAGCATGTGGCGAGTTACGCGAGACTCGCTTCGACAACACCCGCGTCGTGACTCAGCGTCTAATTGTTATTCTTAGAAACGATGGTTTATGAACATTCTGCTCCGCTCTCTACCAGCCGTGTTATTAGCAAACGGCCAAGTATTATACAAACAATTTTCCGCGCACGTCTTCACCTCCTCTCTCCTCCGCCGGTTATTTCCAAGTTCGAAGGTCCGCTCGGATGTGAATCCCTTGATTCTCGCGACTATTCGCGTGTGGCAACGCCACAGGCGAACGATTCCAAATAAAGTTCGGCGACGCGTGCAAATTACCTCCAGTCGTTTCCTCACGTTTCAACCGAACGTACATAATTGGGCGTGCGTTGCGGCGTGGACTGATTTCGCCGCGGCGGAAACCACGTTGATCCTCGTTAGAGCGTGCAGAAATTAGCCGTTTCGTCGGACGATTCGAACGCGAGAAGCTTCGCAAATTCGTTCCTTGCCACTTCACGACGGATCTCGTCCAGCTCTGCGTGTATTCGCAACGTTTTGCCGGTGCTTTCTTTCATCGATAGGATTCTTAGGACAGCGGGCGAGCCAGTTACAGTTGTTCGAAAGAGGAGATTCGTGTTTGTCACCTTGTCCAGATCGGGACGAAGAGGAAAAAAGCTGTTTCGTCGCTGGCTCGGAGAACTCGCGGGAGCACACAGTTTCATTAGTCTAATGGACCTCGACTCTCGAAACTGAGAATCCTCGCGGCATGACGCTCGAAGAAGCGATCAAAGCGATCGGAGGAAAAGCCGCGGGACGTTTGAAAGCAGTTACAAACCGGGACGGAGGAGGACGGAGAGAGACGAAGGAGAAAGTTGTAGGTAGCTCGTTGTCGGAACGCTTGTCCGACTAAACCCTCGCGCAATTATTTAATTGCGAGACTCGCCCTCCCGAGGACGGGTCCACTCTAGAAAAGAGCGGGACACTTTTTACCAACTCTTTCACGGCGAAAAACTCCCCTTTTCACTCGGATCTCCCATCGTCCGGCGGACAAGTAGACTTGAAAAATTCACGCAACGGTTCGGTTAGAAGTGCGCGTTTTAAACGTTCCCCTCGAACTGTTCCGAAGGTATTTAATTATTTCAACGACCTTCCCTCCCCCGCCAATTATGCAGAAAGGTGGGGGTAAAGGGAGCGCCTTAGGTGGTACCTAATAAATTCAACCCCCCCGATCCAACGGGTTAAACGCGGGTCTTTCGATTTTCCATTATTCTCGATTACACGGCGTATTTCAGCTCCTCAAAGAAAGTTCATTCCGAACGTATTAACTTGAGCTCCGGGGAGCAGAGATGTCCCCCTTTCTACGTCGATCGAAGAATTAAACCGCAAATTCCCCGTGGCCGTAGAAAATTCTCAGATTACACGGTTCCGTTCGCCGCGGTAAACCGCTTGATTACGAGAATAAAGCACGTAACCTGCTCGTCCGCCGAAATTCAACCAAAGTTCCTGCTTCCAAGGAATCTTAGTTACCGAGATATTAAAATAATCAACGAGCGAAATCTCGCGGGGTGAAAAAAGGAAGCTACAGCTTGTAGACGATGAGCAGACGTCCTGTACGGAGAAGAGAAGCTCACCTTATTTGGACGATCGCCGGAATTCTGCGTTTCGTCGATCCACGGTGTGCAATTACTCATTATGTATATAAACAGCGAGCACGTTCGCAGGCCGTAGCGACGGTTAATTTGGTAAAGGTTTGGCGCGGTGGTGCCAGGCGACCGGACGCGTCTCTCCTCGCGGCTGCTTGTAATCTTCCAGCTTGCGAGCGTCCGCGAGTTGCTTCGTCTTTTAGTGCTCGAATCGCCTTCGTCGTGGGTGGATTCGCGGGTTCCTCGGTTCTCGAACAGCGGACTGATCTGATATTAGACCCCTGATCGGGATATTAGATACGTCGGTTTGGCGTTCGCGGTTCTAACAACGGCGTTTCGTAGAATTGGGGAAAGAGGAGGAATTTAGAGAGCACAAAGTGTCCCGGAAACGTTACCACGAGCTCTTTTTGTCAGAGGAGAAAACGCGACCGAGTGGTTTGGTTCGGTTTGTGCTCGCATCGAAGGGCAGGACAGCGGGGGAGAAAAGGAGAGGAAGGGAGAGAGCTAGGGGTACACAGACAGAGAGAAGTGGACGAATCTGTCGGTATGGTACACTACGGATGCGCGAAAACCGACAGCGGTGGAGTCGAGTGCTTCGTTGAGTTCAGTGAGACACCACGTTGCTCGATAGCATTCTCTCGTTGCCATTGTAGAGCCACCGGGGGTTAAAGAAAGGGGACGAAAGCCGGAACCGACGAAAAAATCTAGCTTTATTCCGTTCTGACGTTTTATCTCTCGAATTTTCGTGGAAAAATCACACGGCGAAAAACGTTTCCCTGCCTTCTTCTAACTAAAAGAAAGAGATACTGTTCACGCGCGAGATAGATTCGAGGTATAAATAATTTGAAGCGGAGTAACGTTGCACGCCGCTTGATTCCGAAATAGCGTCTATTTTGGCATCTCCGAACAAACCAAACGATCTAGATTTAATAAATGTTAAATCATCGCGATTGTATTTTTACCGCGCCAGATCTTTCGCGCTATCGGCTTTCCTCCCCTTCGCGAGTTCCTCCTTGGTCGCTAACCCTTTAACGAAGAACAGACACCCTGGTTCGAGCGTTTCGTCCTCGATTTGCTGCGGTGTGAATTTTAACCACTTAACGCTCACGTTTTTCTCAACTTGAAAAGGGTCAATTTTATATAGATATAAGAGGTATTATATAGAAATAAGTATAATTCTGCGCAATATGGAAAGTGAAAGAAAATACGCTCTGCCACCACAGGTTCTCGCTAGTCCTCGTAAAATTTGTATATATACACCTTCTAACCTCAGTCCCTCCCGCGTCTAAGGCATGGGTCTCCTACTCTTCGTTCAAAATAAGAATAACCTCGTTTCGGGCATGGAACGCGCCTAAGGCAGGACCTTAGAACGTCCAAACCGCCTACGTTTTTCTCCGTCTTACCCTCTGCTACGCTTTCTGTCTATGCGTCCCAGAGCGAGGTTATTCTTATTTTGAACGAACAGTAGAAAGCCTTACTGACGATTCCACTAGGAGGTCCAGGACGAAACGCCCTAACCTTTCCTTTTCCGCCGATCCTCGATTTTGGAGGGTCACTTGTGTAAGACACTAGCACGAGCGTTAACGGGTTAGGTGCAACGAATAATGATATATGGCCTGATCTAACAAAAGAAGGTAACGCGACCTAGCTTCGACAGAACTAAACGATAAACTCTTCGACAAGCATCCCACGAAACGTCTAATAACAAGATCGTCGTTCAGAGACGAAATCCGCGAACGCGGGATTTCGAAGTGGTTTCTCGAAAAGCGGGCGAAACGTGAAGGAGCGGGTGGTATGAAATTAATGAGAAAGCTTGTCGACGGGTGGCGGAGGAATTACTTTTCTGCCAGCCATTCCATTTCACGCGCAATTTACCGAGGACGATCCGCTCGCGCGGGCGACACAGGCCTTTGCATGATTGCTTTCGCACCGGCATCAGCCTGTCGAAAAACGGACAAGCGCGTTCGGCCAAAGGAAGGAAATCCTCCGACGACGAATCGCCCCAAACGTAGAACAATCCGTTAATTAGAAACGAAGTTTCGATCCTAAGCTTTGCTTCTCTTCTACTTCTCTTCTCGGTCTGTTTGTTGGAAAAATAGAGGAGTCGCCGATGAAAGGGATGGCGGAGGAGAGGAAGGTCGGCGCGATGACGAGATTCGTGGAGTTGCTAGCTACCGTGGGGTCATTTCTGCTGGTGCTCGTTACCCTACCCTTCTCGCTGTGCTTCACGTTCAAGGTCGTGCAAGAGTACGAGCGTGCCGTTGTATTCAGAATGGGCCGGTTGAAAGGCGGAGCTTACGGGCCAGGTAAACACAGGGCAATTTCATTTCTGTTCATTCCTAAGCGAGCCGTGTCCCGGTAACAAGTTCGCGAGCGTTCTCACTCGAAAACGGCAAACGAACTTCACCCCGTTCCACGCGATCCGGGGTACGGTTCGACTGTCGGAGGGGAGGGAACAGCCGTGGATATTCCAGGTTCGTTTATCCGGCAACAATTTCACCAATTCGTATAAACGTACCTGCCGACCTCTCGATTTTTTCCCAACGGTAATTCATTTCGCCACGGCTGAAAATCCCCGACGATCGCTCTGCATATATTTGCACGACGCGCGGACGTCTAAATAAATAGTACGCGCGCGCTGTATATAAGTGCGACACATATAAATCAATATTTCCAACGCGGGGTTCATGTACCTATAATTACTCGTTCGACTCGAAAATTGTAATCGAAGCATATTTTCGACGCAGCCGACCCGACGATAATTGCCCCCGATTGTGTGTACACGAGGACGAAGGATGTACGATATTAAAACGGCTCGATGGTGGAAAACAAGGTGTGCGTTGTTTTGTAACAGGAACGTTCTTCGTGATGCCCTGCGTGGATTACTGCGTTCGGGTGGACCTGAGGACGGTGTCCTTCGACGTTCCACCGCAGGAAGTGCTCACCAAGGATTCCGTGACGGTGAGCGTAGACGCGGTCGTCTATTATCGTATAAAGGAGCCGCTGAATGCCGTTGTCAAGATAGCCAATTACAGGTAGGTACGCGAAAGGGTTCAAGTACTACGTACAGTTTCAACTAACATTCCACGTTGATTAAACAGACTTAGGAGCACGTAACGTTTCGTGTCAACCCTTGTGTCAACAACCGAGTACCGTTTTGCGCGTTTTCGAGGTGAAAATGCTTCATCTTCCCGGTGAAAGATTCCAAGACTTAACATCTTAGCTACGGCAAGACTTTCCGCGGAGCTGTATCTCTGTACAGTTTGATGATACTTTTCACTATGAAATTACACCAGAACAGAGATTATAGACGAATGAATTACCATTTATTTTTAATCCGTGCGTTTTCCAGGCGTAAATTTGGGAGGCCATCGAGCACTTTAACGTTCATTTAGAAGTTCGATGCTTTCTTCTCGTGGCTCTCGTCCACGTCTGTTCCTTATATTTAACTTCTCGGGTTTCTGGTCTCCACCTTGGTACGTTTTGTTAGCGACGAAGCGCCGCCCGGACTTATTACCTGCTGCGTTTATTCCGCGCGCGTCACTCAACGGTGCGGACGACACTTGAGAATGACCGTTGACTTGGGGGCGTTCTTTAGTTCGTTCGTTGTTTAACAGTTTGCCAATCGCGTATAGGCAACCACCTCCCTTGTCGAAGTCGAAATTGTAACTCACCCCTTTCGGCTAGCAACGAGTAGCATTGAACCCTTTCAAAAAACAACGTAGAAACACGAGCAAATCAGTTATTCTTCCGATACATGGTAGTGGTCCTTCGAATTTGTAATTAGTCGGCACAAACGTGCAAAATCAGCGAGGCTCGGAAGATCGCAGTACCATTGAAAAAGATGATCTGCGCGAAAGCCACTGTGGTCTAAATATTTTACGCCGTGTAATGGTTAATGAGTCTGATCTGCTCACGCGGTAACAAAGCTTCACTTATTTGAAAAATAATTTGCAAGGGTAGTATATAACGTGAGTGAATTATCGTAAATAACCGGGAAGTCGCTACCTTTTCGCGCTGATTTTCCGTGTAAACGAAAAACTTTACCTCTGAAAATAAAATCGCGTACTTGCCAACGGACCCATGGGCCTACCACGCAGATATTTGATCACCCTCTGTTCGAGGGCACGACCGTTCAGGCCCGCGGTTTTCGGCAGAGAAAAGTTTTCTTCCGCTGAAGATCAAAACTTTCCTCTCGCGCTATTAAAATTTGACGATAAAGCAGACAACTGTGGTTATCGACACAAGGGTTAAAGACACGTATAGGGAAAATGTAATGTGAAGGGAGTGGGAGTAAGAACCGAGCAGCGGGGTATATGCGAGATTGAAGAAGATATTTGCTCGGTGTAGCGTAGCAGGCTGTGTAGAAGTTTTAATTGCGGTAATACCGTAGATAACCGTGTTTCCCTCCTAACCTGGGAAAATGAATGCGGCACGCAGCAAGCGTGCTAATGCGTCGCGGGGAAAGCGTCCGAGGAAATACACGCTATCGTAAAAGGAATTTCATCCGGGTAATGCAAATGGCTCAGGAAGGGCCCAGCGACAGATCGTTGAAAAAAACGTGACGCGCTGTTTCCCTCTATCTCACTCTCAGCTTCTCTGGCTGTCGTTTTATCTGGGAATTCAGTCGCGAGGCCGGAAGAATACGATCGCGTGCCTAACGAGGATGTGGAACGCTGAAAGACATCTCGTTTCAGCTCGATGCAGCGTGCAGAAATGGGGAGAAAAAAAAGTGGATAAGAGGAGGAGAGAGAGAGATAGGTGAAATTGCTGGCCACGATTTTCACGAGAAACGACGCGACATCGTCGAGCAATTTTTTTCCGCGGCGCCGTCACGCCGAATTTCAAAGTTCATTCGGACGCGAAATTCCCCCGTAATTCCGCGAAAATTAGTTATCAACCGTAACGATCCACTCCGTCCTTCTCCGTTATTACGCAACTTCTCCGTGGAGTCCGAGTTAATCGGTACAACGAAACGTTTTCTAAGCCGGGGGAAAAACAAGAATTTTCCGTTCTTGCTCGTTGCTGGATTGAGACGGATCGGAGCGTAGGTGCCGAAATACTCGAGACACGGCGAATTAATTGGAATTCCTTAGGAGACAGGGTTAATTAAGGCGGACACGATATTCTGAAATTTTAATTAGCATCGCTGTGGCACCGAGTGCCGGTTCCATGGAAACGAGAACCTCTCGAGAGGGAATCCGCCGATCTACCACGGAGAAAAAAATGCGGGAGACGGGACGATGGCTCCTCGAGGAGTTACAAGAGCGTGACAAAATTACTTGGATAATTTGTACCGTGCGGAGCTACCTGATTAATTGCGTAGTAAATGTTGCACAAGCACGATCTGCCCGGGAGATCTCTCTTGTAATTGAACCCGCCTAGTTCTCTCCTGTCTCTCGCGCTCTCGATCTTCCTTTGAAACGAACCTTCCCTCTGTCGCCTCGCGTCCAGCTTTTTCTTAGAAAAATACTAGAGATACACTTTACTTGGTTATTCTTGATTAAACAGGTAGAGGAATGTTCGTATTAAGAATAAGAGGAGAGATATCTAAAACTGACCAACGTGCCGTCTCTGCACGCGCGATTTTTTTGAAACCGCACACGTGAGAGGTTTCGCGAAACGGAACCGACGTTTAATTAACTGAACACGCCAGACAGATGTTCAATTATGGGAAAGACGATGGCGTAATTAAAGTTATACGCTGGCCCGACGCGAAATTTCATAAAACCCTGCGCCTCGCTGCTATAATTGTAACGTTAACATACTCGTTTTTCCCAGCTCCACGTGGAATTACATCTTCTTTATCCAGCTCTAATTAACGAATCGTTACGCGACTGTCGTATGTTTTCACGTGATCAAACCGGCGATGGGCGTTTCAGTCATTCCACTCGACTGCTGGCTGCCAGCACGCTGAGAACGGTGCTCGGGACGAGGAACTTGGCCGAGATCCTCTCCGAACGCGAAACCATCTCCCACACCATGCAGACGTCTCTCGACGAAGCGACGGATCCTTGGGGTGTCAAGGTCGAGCGCGTTGAAATGTAAGTGCCACTCGATACGATGGGCGAATCTCTCTCTCCTCGTCGCTCTTTAACGGATATCAGATTTAACACACCCAAGTTCAAACGGTAAACAAAACGAGTCTTTTAATTCGTGAAATACGAGAGAAATTCGAGGCGTTTTTTCCATCGAGGAGAAAGTGAATTTCGTTGTTTAACGTGGAAGGAGGTTTCGAATTGACGTGGGTAAACGATTGGACGATGTTGTTTTTGTGTCAAAGATCGATATACTTAACTCTGTACCGTCCGGAATATCGTATTTGCGATATCTTCTCCTTCCCTTGGACGGTGACTTGCCTTACCTTACAAAGGAAAGCCTGTCCATTTTACAAAAATTAACAAACAAATTACGACACGAAGTTCTTCGGAATTTCCGCTGCACGTCGCGTATAAAATGTCTAACTTAACTCTCCGGAATCGAAAATAGGAAAAAGATCTTGGGGCCCTGTCGAGGATCCTTGTTGTAAGACTAAGGAAATACAGGCGCTTAAAATAACTGATTTAAAATAACGTCGGTTTTTTTTTTGCGTGCGGGAAATCCTCATGGTCACCCCGCCCCTCGGGGACGTCATGCCGGACTCGCACCGGCTAAGACCCTCACGGTGGCCCTTCCTCGGCGTTGCGGGGTGGGCCCGGGATCTCCAAACCAACGCCATCGGACCCACCCCACGCCTGGCCCCTCCCTCAAGATGTTCTCGGGGGGAGGAGCGCCACCTCGGAGGGGGTCAACAGGACCCCCTCACCACTGCCGAGGCGTCACCAGTGCCACGCCGGTGACGCCCCAACTGCGCAGTGGGCTGCCGGGTCGCGCGCCCACAGCCCTGCAGCCCCGGCGACCCACACATTACTTGGGGCGTGCCTGCCCGACCCCTTGAGGGAGGAGGGAGGGGCCTCCCGGCGTGGGTTGCCACCACCGGGACCCGGCGTGAGGATGTGACTCCTCCCCCGGGCCCGTGCACTCAGGCACCTCGGGGTCGTGATTCCCGTACCGCAGCCCATCGGAAGTTCGGCTGCGGCCCCTGAGGATTTTTAACAGTACACGGAGTTCCCAAGCGGTCACCCATCTAAGTACTAACCGTGCCCAACGCATCTTGACTTCGGTGATCGGACGAGAACCGGTAGGTACATGCGCGGTATGACCGTCGGTGACTATTCGCGATATTGTGTGGGCCGCTGCCCTTTTTCCGTTTTTATATGGTTCTTCGGCCGTTAGGACCGCGCAAGCCTTGGGATGGGGGTGTCTAAGGCCCTCTACGGTTTGAGTCCCGCGGTCGTTGTCTAGGCGCGTCGCACAGCGTCGTACATTGTATTAAGTTCTTTAAGGCGCAGTGTGACGTGTCATAAGAACACATCACCGATGATCAACACCCTCTTAACCGAGCTGTCAAAAGTCCTAAAATGTGAGAACATTGCCATAATTCTCTCTCCGCTGACAACGAAAAATGCCTCGAAGGCCAAGATTCGCGACGAAAGTTCGTTACACCGGATCAACGATCGAGCAAAGCATTCTACTCGATTAGTAGAATCGGCCTCCGTTAAATACGATCGAGAGTCACTCACCGTGAAGAAGAATAGCGGAACGATCGATCATCGCGGAACGAGTGAATGCTTGATGTACACGGCCGCGATAAATATCATTTCGCGCGGAAAGGAGCTTATCGTCGGCGCGGCGTGGTAACAGCGCGGCGAAAGTGTATCGCGCTCCATTGAGCTTACTGGAAAGAATCCACGGTGAAATATAGCCGCGATCGAGACGCGTATCGACAGCCCCAATGGAATCATTCCGCCTCTACAATGGACGCGATATCGCTGGAATTTCGAAAATGTTCCGACATTGTCTCGCGTTCTTCCTCCGTTCCACCTTGATCTACGGAGTAATTGTTTCTACCCTTCTTGTCGCCTTTCAATTTCAGATCGATCCGACCGGGGAACACGCGCTCGTCAACTGGAATTAATTCGACGTTTAAGTACCGTTTCGCTGAACACGATTCGCGTTTCTTTCAAGTGTGCTTCAAAGTACCTACTTATCGAATCTCTTGGAAACAACGCTGTACAGGGTGAACGAAATTTTAACAGCTACGTTTTGTCTTGGAAACGTTGAGACCAATTTGTGGTTATTAATATTAGAATTTAAGGTAATAAATTTAAAGATATTTGTTTAAAGAATTTTGTCGGACATTGTTGTACGAGCCGTCACTGTGTTGAGTTTAAATGCAGTTCTCAGGTCTTATAACCGGCCACGATTATTTGTTTGATCAATCGATCACCACCTTTGTCTACCATCGTTCTTTTTATTCCTTACAAAAATAACTCTGCCTCCCTATTTTAGAAAATCTTCTACGCTTAGTTACAGGATGACTGATTGTACCTAAGCATCCTCTAAGAATTTCAACTTCATCAGCGAACGATCGAATATGCTAGTCATCCAACGAGAGATTCCAAAGAAAAATGTCCTCTGAACTCGTACGTTTCTCTCCCGCACAGTTCCTCCAGCAATTTGACTCGTTGAATCGATACACGACTCTCGCGTGGAATGAACTTGTTAGAGAGAGAAAAAAAGTAGTACTTACGGTGAAAGAATAATTCCGATGATACTCGCGTTTCTTTGACGCGGAAGAGGCACGGTACGTCGAGACGCCGGCGAATATACGTACGTACGTATAAACATGAGAAACGAGAAGAGAACCTCTCGATGGCACTCGAGGCCGTATATGCAAGCATTTAAATGCGTCCCCAGTGCCGTCACAAAGCCGAAACCGTGCTACCTTTTAAGGAGATAGTTGGCCGAGCTACGTACCCTGAGACATCAGCCGTATCGATTCAACCGGAGAAAAAAGCCTTCCTCGCGAGACGACCGTCCAAACTCTCGCGTCGTTCTTTTCACCTGGAAGAAGAATGCAAATCGTCGGAGAGGAAGTATCCCTGTCCGTAATTATTATTCTTTCACGAAATGTTTGAGGCGCCTCTCGAGAGGGGGGTTAAAGGGAAAGCTGCTCTACAAGTTTCCGTCGCACAGAAGCGCTGGTGTGGATACGTGGACGCGCATAAACGCGGACACTCGAGAGGGTGGCTGCGAGATCCCTCGACGAGATCCCCAAAAAGGAAGAGCCCTTTAGTCTCGATGCTCAGAACGTCGCGCGTTCCAATAGCAAGACACTGGTGTCGCGTGTTTCTAAAGATGAAAAAGCTTCGAGTAGCTCCCAGAGAGGCCCTTTGCTGTGGATACATACGTGTATACGGGTCCGACTATCCCTACATGCACACGTGTCTCACACGCGTTACTTATTGTCTCTCGGTGAAATATTCCGTTAAAAAGTTTCGGCGGAAAATTGAATTCTTGAGAGTTTCATAGGTGCGACGCGGTAGGTTCCCTCTGCACAGGTATAGAATTTGTCGAGATGCAGAAAACATGCGGTGGCACGGGACGGTTACCATCTAGAGCACGTTCTAAATGATCGAGGGGAGGAAAGTAACGTTGGACGTCTATTTATGCCGCTGTCAACTGTACCGAATGGCAAAGTGCATTTTCGCAGTGTGTACACGTCGCGTAAAATATCACCGCGCTCGTATATTTGGGTTAGCGTTCGCAGCGTATCTTGTTGTTTTAAAAATGACCATCGTCTAGCGGAATGGGCAAACGTAAATTGCGACGGGGAGTGCATTTTTATCCCGGTCGGGTGTAACTAGCTTCAAGAAACCGGTGTGTTTTCCCCTTCGACACTCCGGCTTTGCTGCACGAGAAACGAACTACGATATAATCGTGAAATTGTCGTCGAACCGTCTCCGAACGCGACCATCGACGTTCTTCCATGGGAAAATATCAGTCGCGAAGTTGAAATTATTTCGACTAACGAACGCCCCGGTTAACTTTCCGCATTAGGGAGGGTTAACGACGTAAAACCTCTCCGATGCGCCCAACTCCGGCGCCAATTTAAACGGTTCCGCGGAAATTTACGCGTCGCTGTGACTCCAATTCGATAACTGTTCGAACCGTGTGTGTATCTGTATACTCTCGCTCCGCTAGGGAACTCGTTTCCCCTTCGAAAGGTTCGTCCCGGGCATATTCGCCGGGACCGAAAGTGGGACCGTCGTAAGAGCAACGTATAATAAAACGAAAGAAGGAATCTTCTTTATTCCGGCCGTGTTCCGCGGAACTACGGCGAGGGAAGTTGCCCTCTTTGCCGTAACTCGAAACTACTATTCCCGAATGTGCTCGCTCGTATAGGACGTTTCATTGCACGTGAGATCTTCTTCTGGTGGAGAAAAGACAGGGAAGCAGTTTGGTCTTTCGGGTATATACAGTGGTATCTGTCTTATAGGTCGTGTTGTAGTTCAGCCTGTTGTAATATTTCATGGTCTTTCGATTGAAATTCTAGGTCTGCGTTAAGAGAAAAGTCTCGCGTGTTCTGAACGAGGTTGTACAGGATTTTGCAGCAGTGCAGACAGGTAGAGACGTAGATCGAACGAACGGTAACGGATGTCTCTGATTTAGAAAGGACGTTCGACTTCCGGTGCAGCTGCAGCGAGCCATGGCCACGGAGGCAGAAGCCACAAGGGAGGCTCGGGCCAAAGTGATTGCAGCGGAAGGAGAGATGCTGGCTTCCCGTGCTCTGAAAGAGGCCAGTGATGTCATTTCCATGAGTCCAGCTGCTCTTCAGGTACGTTCCAGCCAGTCT